ACACACACACACACACATTTCGAGCAGTGTTGCTTCACATTGATAGAAAATCCAGATGTTAGTCTTTGACTCCCATTAAACACATCTGTCTGTGCAGCCATGCACACTCATCATACAGAAACACACTGGAGGAACTGTACAGTACTTGATTCTGTTACAGTAACAGGTCTAACTGCCTGTCAGTTACTGTCACTATTGAGACAAAGTAGAATCAGTGCAATAAAGTGATTCAATAAACCACTGCAGCTGCAGCTCCAAATCATATTTTACTATTGATTGATCTGCTAATTCATTTATCATTTAATTTTAAGAGATGATTCAGCTTCAAGATGATTGGCTATAAAATGTCAGATAACACTGACAAATATGTGTGAATATTTCCCACAGTCGAAGCAGATCTATTATACAAGCTTGTTTTTATTTCATGATGCAGTCCAACATCCAAAGAAGTTCAGTTTAGTTTATCATATATGATCCTTTTTAAATCCTGATGTCTGGGTTTGTGATTTTAATGTAACTAAATATATCCCTTTATTTGTACACATGTCACAATTTAACTTTAATCTTTGTATGTTTCTGTATGTCACAGGGAGCCCGTGTTTGGGTTCGGGAGAAGGAGCAGCTCGTTCCGGCCTCTGTAAACTCCTGTGGAGATGGAACCCTCGTGGTCACAACTGACTATGGCGAGGTAAGAGATGTGAACACTCACACTGCTGGTGTATGTCTTTCAGATCGGGCTTGAATGTAGCACCAAGGCCAAGTGATCATACTGACAACTGGCTAGATTGTGTTAAGGAAAGGATGCTTGTAAATGGACCCTGATAATGAATTTATTATAATGCAGCACGTCTTCTTGTAAATATGGAAATATTTTCTTATTTTGTTACAGGTGAATACTTGCCCCAATGCTATTGTTTGCTTTGAGGTGAACGGGCAACCCTGGTTTATTTGCAAAGTAGTTTTTAAAAAAGTTTTAGTTGCATTTTATAACTTTATCACAGAGTCGACAGTAGGAATTAAGGAAAGGGAGAGATGGAACATGTTATTTTTGATCAGCATCTTAAACCTCAAGACTATCAACTTGTTTTAACTCAAAACTGAATATAAATTGTCGAAGTAAACTTTGAAAGCCAAACTTACTTATGCAACATGACTGTTAACTTAAAAAACTTCGTAAATGGATCAGAAAAATGCAATTGAAAACACATTTCATTAGTTTAAACTGAGCAGGAGAAGTAAACAGTGTCAGCTGAGCTAAAGCTGCAGTCGTTGCTTGGAATGGTTCACCTGCTGTGTGTTCACGTAAAGGTCAGAGAGAAGAGGCAGCGCTGCAGGTTCTCATTCACCATGTGTGGATCGATAGAAACTCATGATGCTCCACTTTCCTGTCCATACCTCCTACCTCCTCCTCCTCGTCGTCCTCCTCCTCATTCATATGCAAAATTCATCTCTGACACACATTCAGCCTCGAGAGGAGAGCCTGGAGAGATATGGAGCAATATGAACATGCTTGTTCCGGGGTTGTCAGATGTCAGTGTCGCCATGCAGCTGCCCTGTAACAGCACATGCAACCCCCCCCCCCCACCAAAATAATGGAATTGAATGTATAAATCTCATTATGGGTATGTGCGCACGTGCATGTGCTCATCTAATCTGTATCAGAGCAGCGACATGCACACATTGCTCTTTGGATTTAATTATTTTTTTGGATTGCTGATGTTTTTGACACACACACACACACACACACACACACACACACACGCTCCAGTTGGCAGCATTTAGATGGAGCTAATAATAGACTTGGCTCTTCAGCCTGAATTCAAGAGTCTCAATACTCCATTTATTCCCTTAAAGAACATCCACATCCATCCTCACAGTTGTACAATGAAGCCGTGTTTCCTTTTGAAACATGCAAAGACCAGACGCTGCTGCTCTAAAAGCATCGTCTTATTATATAGCTGTAGCTCGGAGTTCCTGTTCAGGGACATGGCAGGGGACAGACAGGCTTTTGGCTATGGGAGTTCTCTCCACTCTGGATTATGAATGTCTTTAACCTCCCCAGCCCCCATCCGGCTCTCCCTGCCTCCCTCTGCCCTCCCTCTCTCCTAACCGGTGGTGTTTAAATGTTTGCTCTGCAGGAGCTGGTGAATATTTGATAAGGAATCAGCAGGGTGTGTGGGGGGGGGTCTGACCCATGCATGAGGACCCCCATCGCTCCCTGTGGCTCTGCCCTGTGACCCCCCACCCCCTGATCCTGGTCAGACTTCAGTGACCACAGACACTCGGTGAATCCCAGAAGCATTTTTGAGTAAAAACGATAAAAAATGACTCACATGTTGATGCCAAAGACAAAGTAGACACATTTAAAAAATTTAAATGTTTGCTTGTTTTATAATCCCCTCACTCTTTTCTTCCTCATATTCTCTTCCCTGCTCTTCAGTCATTCTTTAATCTACAGACTCTGACCCACTTCACCAAATCACAGATTCTGCGTTACCAATGCTGTGGCTGCAAAACTATCATGTTAAATCAGCACAGCTCACTGCTGAGGGTAGATACTGCGCAACCCAATCATTCATCCTCGATTTTACACTGCTTTCCCACAATTGAGCTGCCGTGTAACAATATTTGAATACTGAATATTGACAGTACAGAACGATTCATTCATGAAAAGTATAGTAGACAGTGCAGGGATGATGGTGTGTGTTTCATTGTCACTTTTCTATTCTCTCATGTGAGTAATTTTTGACTTCATGCTGGCTGAACTTTTCATGGAGGGACTTTACAATTAGCCGTGTCCCAGTTCAGGGGCTGCATCCTTCGGAGGACTTGATGTATGAAGGCATGGCTTTAGTAGACAGAGTCACTGGCACGCAATGAATCCTGGGACAGGTTGGCCAGAGAAGGATCCACCCACTGGATCCTTCTTTCTCAGTAATGGCAGGATGCATTTGTCAGCTGCAATTAAAAGGAGCCTTCGAAAGGAGTCAGCCTAGTTGTGCAGCTGTGTAGCTATTTGTCCTTCGAAGGATGCAGCCCCCGAATTGGGGCACAGTTCAGTTAATGTAGTTACTAATTATGAAAAGTCTACAATCTAATGAAAACTACCAGCACCAGGTCCTTGCTGTTGAAGGCTGGAAGTTAAATTGCCTGATGAATCAAGAGCTAAACCAATCTCCTTGGATTGGTCAAATCCCAGATCATGCACAAATATCTCATCAATGATCAGAGGTTTTCCCTTTAAAGTCTCTATAGCGTACTGTGTAGAAAATACGATTAGATTAGAATCAGATTAGATGAAATTTGAATTAACCTGTGGTGAATCTGGGTCAGCAAAGAACTGGTTCTAGATATAGAAAGAACACAAAGATTTGACTGAAGATAATACAGCGAATGAGCATGAATGCTTAATAAATAATAGAGTGGAAACATTTTCTAAATTCACTGGAAGCAGTTGGCCAATCAAAACAGAGTATGCTAGCTGGCCAATCAGAGCAGACTGGGCTTGACGAGCCTGAATTTTAGGATTAATATGTCTCTGTCAAAAAGATTATCTCATTGAAGTGTCCCGTGTTTTCATTTTTAACTGCAGGAATGTGACTCATATCACTGTGTAGCTGAAATTTAATTAATTATTTATTTAATTGAGCCATGATTTTTGTTAAATGATTTAGTTTCTGCCTGAGAATATCGCCTTTTTCCAGAATTTCAAATTTGGTGATTTCCTGTTTTGACTTCTCATATTTAATAGTTAATTCAATTTTTTTTAAATACTGAACAAAAGATTCAACTTGGAATATATTTACATTTCACAATGTATGAAAAGTTATATTTAAAATCTCATATTTATAATCAGGGATGTTCAGACACTTGAGAGATCTTCCTTGTCTAGTTGCCATGGATACAGTCACAGCATCAGACTCCTTTCATATGCTGTGGTTTTATCCTGATGTCTTAATGTATACCTGCATTGGACATGTACATCCCCATGGGACATTACATGGGAACAATGTGTAGACCAAGAGAGAACTCCACTCTTACACAGTGTATGCACACACACACACACACACGCACAAACTTGGACGTACACACTCTGAGGTGACGTTTGCGATGAGTTATGTACAATGTGTATTATGTGACCTGGATTTCAGTAGCTAGCGTGAAAGCTGCAGTGAGGGCTCACGCGAGCACAGAACATGCTGCGGGGATGCCTCTGCTCCTTCTGAGCACACAACATAACTGCGTTCTCGGACACACACAGACAGACACACATACACGAGAAAAAGTGACACACACTATGTTGAATGCATCTAATGAAAAGCGCAGAAATTACTTGTTTTGTCTAATCTGGCTCAGAAACAAGCTTATGCTGCTGTGTGATCTCCTGACCCACATTCCCCCTTCACAGTTTTAGATTTCTAACCCTCAGAGGACCTCATAGTTACTCATCTCGTTTAGCATCATATAATGAGATTAACTCAACTCTGTCAAACTGGCCCACAAAACCACAGACACACGAACACACACCAACTGTAACTACGGTCACACACACTGTCTCCTGCTCTCTGTCCGTCTCTCACCTTCAGGGAACAAGGCTGTGATCCCTCTTGGATGAGTGTGGTTTGCAGAATCCCACAGGGTGATGGCTTATGAAATGTGTTATTCCCTCCAGTGCTGTGAGGCAGAGGACGTATAAACACAGTTAAATCTTGTTGTTAACCTCTTTTTCTCAAACCAACTCTGTGGGAAAAGAAACAGCAGAGAACAGTTTCTATATATTGAAAACTACGATATTGGTGTTTTTTACGCTATGGCATTATAATAATGAACATTCATTACCCTAAGTACAGCCTCTCATTTGCGTTTAATGGCAGTAAAAAAGGTCTCCGCACTAGACGCATTGTTCAAAAGGATTTTACTCACTCTTAATTAATCATGGGTGTGTTTTAGTGCCCTCTCCAATTCCCTTTAAAAGCCTGATGCACTTGCGCCTTGGCGGAAATGGATCTGAACAGACAATGTGTGTGTAGCAAGCAGCGTAGGAGGGTTTCTACCCACTTATGTGGGGTCATATTGGTATCTTGATAATACACCCTATCCTATCCAAGGTCAGTGAGGAGAGCTGCAGGTGTGTAAAGTGCCGTGTGATACTGTATTCAGCGCTAGCGAATATAGGCCTGCAGAATATATAGGTCACTGTGCCCACAGCTCTCTGTCTTCATCTCTCTCGCCTGCTCTCCTCTCTCTGCAGCTAATCTGTGAAGTCAGATGAAGAGGCTTTAGAGGGAGACCATTGCATCCGCTGTGTGTGTGTGTGTGTCTGTGTTGAAATGAACAAAGCAGGTTAAGAATGGTGTAATTGTGCTGCATGGTGGAGATGATGAAACAGGAGAAGAAGTGTAGTGTGTGTCTGAGCGAGTGATTGATGTCAACAAATCCCATTTAAAGACCAAATCGTACAAATGTTGCAATAGATCGTATTCAATAGACAACAATAGTCATGGTGGATGCTCAGTGAGATGTGGGGACACCAGTTCACAGGGTCAAATGCTGAGGATGTCGTGTTTGTTTTGGTGCGACCTCGTTACTGTGGCTCCCCCCCGGATCGCTACTGGGCAGACTCCAAGCGCGCATGATGGCATCATTTGTATCTGGGACTTTAGCTTCATTTCTGGATAGTGGGAGGAAGTGGGGGGCGTGTGGTGCAAATCTTTACGTTTAAAACAAATGAAAATTTATTTGTGAGCCACTTTTAAATATTGATGTAATCTCCCACACTTCATCTCCTGAAGTGAGACGCTTTTACGTGGACATTATCTCATCCTGTCTCTCTCTCTCTTTGTCAGTGTATGTCAGTCTCTCTCACCCTCTCTCTCTCTCTCTGTTCTCTCTCTATCGCTATCGTTTCTCTCTCCAATTATGAATTATTGAAAATGAAGAAACCCATTTCAAACGCAGTCAAACTTATTGTGAGTGCATCTGCTTCACATACAGTACATTATGCTCAAGTGTGTGTGTTGCACTTGTGTGTGTTAATGTGCACTAAGGAGCCGCAGACAAAATGTGTGTTAAAACTCACCAGAATGATCAGGAAGGATTTTTTTCTTTCACTCCAGCTCCATTTTATTTCAGTCACTGACTTACTTTCTTTCGTCTGTGTATCTTCTCCTCTGAATTATTCGTTGATGGGTTTTCCTGAATGTTTATTCTCTGAACGTCTATGCTGTAGCTGCTGTTTAAAGTCTTTGTATTTGAAAGAAGCTTTGGCATTGGAGGCTATTTTAAAACCCAGAGAGTAGCCCACCAACTTGTTTGTTTTAATGTTACAGTGAAAGTCTTTCTGTCCCAGTTATTTCTTAGGTCCTGGTTAAGATAATGGGTAAAATGTGAATTGTGGTTAGGTTAAGGTTAGGATTAGGCATGAATGTGTTAGGGAAAGGTTTCGGTTGTGTGTATGTGTGTGTTTGAAGCCTTATTTTCTGCTGCACTATAATTTACTCTGGATTGTAAAAGGATGCTTGACTTTCAGATTGAAATTGTTCAGTAAACCTTCAATTACAGGTCAGGATCTTAGATTGAGGCATTTCCACATTAAGTGAATCTGTATGAGTGAGCACACTGTCAATCCATGCATGTTAGATAGTCAGATCAGGAAAAACATGAATAAACCAGGCTGAGGGGATACATCAGAAATATAATATGGAGGTTACGGGAGCCAGCTATAAAGCGGAGGAAGTGGAGGAAGCGGAAAAAGAGGAAAAAAAGAGGAAGAAAGAATATCATGGGAGGATGAAATGTGGGAAAATGCAGTGCGGGGAAGGCAGAAGAGAGGAGAGTAAATTAATGAAGAGTGGGATGGAAGGGATCGAGAGAACAGAGAGAGAAGAGAAGCAAATGACAGAGAGGGGGAAGGGACGAAGACAAGTGACGGGAGAGAAGAGAGAGAGAAGTGATGTTTGAGACATGAAGACAAGCAGAATTAAAAAAGAAATATTAAGACAAAGACTGAGAGGGATTTGAAGGACAGAGTTAGTAGAAGGGATAGAGGGAGAGAATCTGATGGACTTTGATATCATTTGAGAGGCTCTCCATCATCTTTCTCCCTCACAGATGCAGGAATTCACTGAGTCAATATGGAAGCAGCTGTACAAGCCATGACTAACAAGCATGTTAATGCATCACATCCCTCAGACAAGAGTGTCTCCCATGCAGCAAGTACCATACACACATGAAAACACATACAGGTGCATGTGAAAGTCACGAGCGAACACGACTCTGCAGCAGAGATTAAGAAGCAAGAAAGAAGAATAAACTAAACCTGTGTTAACTGTTTTTTGGGAACAAGGGACGATAGGAAACAGACCTTAAATCAAAGGAGAGGAGAGGATATAGAAAAACATGTTGGTGAAATGACAGTTGAGGATGCAGTGACAACATTTACAAAGAAATGAGATTGTTAAATACCAGTTAAATGGTTCTTAGTAATGATTATTTATATTATTGAAAGTTTAAAAATGAAGAAGCTATCTTACCGTTTGTTTCTCCTTCCTGGAAATAAGTCTCTCATCAATTTAAAATTTCTAATTGCAAAGACTAATGATTAAAAAGAGACAGTCCCTGAAATTTGGTCTCATTTATCAAATTTATATAAAATTTTCACAGTTTTTGCTTTTCATTTTTTCATTTGTTTTTTTTTTGTATGTATTTATTCCTGCTTTGTCCACATTTGTTCTGCTACATGTTTTGTACATATGGCAAAAGTAAAAACTGGAGATGTAAAGACCAAGACACATTAATTCCTGGGTCTGTCCCTTTGTCCACATCTGTGCCAAAATGTAATGGTTTCTATTTTGGCCCATCCCATATCTTTCCACCAGGTTTCGTGGAAATCTGATGTAATCCTGCTGCAAACAAACGTAAATACAGTATATTGGTGTACATAGCACACATGTTTCCATGTGGACTCAACAAACAAACAAAATGTACAAACAGTTGGTGCTGATGGAAACGATACAATACCTCTGTATGTTGTTTTGCTCTGAGAGCTTTGACTGCAGCTCTGAGCAGTGGAGGACATTGTTACTGGAGTGAAATAGATTTATTTAAAAACGTCTACAGCGTGGCACTGTGCTGCTCTCAACAGACTTCCAACACATCTGCCACACACACACACACACACACACACAGTAAAAGATCAGTGTGGCAGTAGACCACGCCACGGGGTTCCCATCACGACAGCCAGAGACAAACCAGTCCAACCATTGCGTGTTCGTGCCTTTTCAAGTCTGAGGATCAATCACCTAACAGCTCTCACCTGTGCTGACTGATCCTCTGTGGTGCAGGTGAAGGTGCTCTCTCCGCCCCTTCACCTCCACAATCAGTACTTTAAAGGACGTGTTTCTTTTAGATTTCACTGGAAATGACCTTGATGCTGAAATACAATCACTATTATGTCCAGTACTGTTTTTTTCTGTGTGTGTGTGTGAGTGTGTGTGTGCATGTGGACTATATACATGAAAGAAAGATGGGGATTGTCGTGAGCTGCTTTCACCTGTCGGGTGATGCCACATCAGATCTTTTACACTCTCTCTACTTCTCTCCTTCTGTCCTCACTTTCTCCTCCTCCTTCTTTTTCTTCTTCTTCTTCATCTTTTGTTCCTCACACAGTCAGGTTCTCCACCCGCCTTGTCCCAGAAGACTCTCACGTTGCCATGGTGACAGATGACATAGATGAAACGGGGGAGCCCTGCGTTCTCATCATGTGGATTTTCGTCCTGTTGCAACGCGCTGTCGTCCGTCTTTACTCTGATCTCTAGATATTACCTTTATCATTCAGTAGGCAGCATCACAAGCTTTACAGCTGTATATCAAAGATTTGTTTTCAACTCAGAATGAAAAGGTTTGAAAAACACCTTTCCCTTTTTTCTTTTTGTCCTCTAGGAAAACCATCATAAGAAACAAACAAGTAATAATAAAAAACTTAATTAACAGTTTCCACCATCGTCTGATCCAAAATATCAATTTTTTATAAATATAAATCAACTAAAGCTGATCAATATAACCCTGTAATATGATATTTACATGTATGTGAAGTGTTGATAAGTGACAGTATGTTTGCCTTGGTGTGTCCCAGGTGTTGTACCTGCAGCAGGCCGAGGTCACCAGGGAGCGGGTGTACGCTATGCACCAGTCCAGCATCGAAGGGGTGGAGGACATGTCAGCGCTGGCCGAGCTCCACGAGGCCGCCATCATGCACAACCTGTACCAGCGCTACCAGAAGGATAACATCTATGTAAGTGAATTGAATGCCAAGACATGTGGTGTATGAGTGTGTTGTTACAGCACCACTCCCCTTTGGCAGAATTACCAATGGCAATTAGACCTTAACCAGAATTACCAGCACCGGGACTTTTGACCTTTCAACTCTAATCACTTCATCCTCAACTTTTGTACCAAATTTGAAGAAATTGCCACCAGGTGTTCTAGAGATGTTGTGTTCACAAGAATGGGTTGAATGGATAAACATGAATGGAAATAATGCCACTGGCCACCCGGACCATAGCCAGGGTTTAGAAATTAGTGAGACCCGGAATCTTTTCTTTCAATGGAGCATATACTTAGGGTTGTGATTAGGGTTAGGGTTAGGGATGAGAAGCCATTGGAGATCAAGATATTCTTGAATAACTTTTTTTCTGAAGGTCATAGAGACTTAGAAGTTGGTTCCATCTCAACTAATGTGGGAATGCCCGATCCATTGGTACCATCCCCGAGCTTCTACGACCTTCGGAAAGGGTCAAACCACCAAATCGTGAATCAAAAGTACGAGATATTTTGCAATAACTTTTCTTCTGAAAGACCTAGAGACTTGGGCATTTCATGATTAATAAAGGGT